CTTCATTTATGATGAATATTATGAGGACAAAAATGTAAATTCCTTGTATGTTTTTGGATAATTTCATTTGGTTTTTTAGCATTGAAAATTTATGAGTTTGCAGCACAACAAACTAGATCATCACAAGTCATAAATACGAGGTTGGTGTTGACTGCATAACGATGTGTAGTTTCCTATAACTGTAGATTTATGAGTTGTGTTGACCTGGTTCGCTGCACATGTCCCGAATACATAAATTTTCAAAGTAGAAAATTGAACAAATGATCCAAAAACATACAAAAATCTTACTTTTTAGAGTTATCATAGTTAGTGACTTGTTCGTACATTATACTCTTTCTACATAATTTAGGTAGAAATAAATGGACGTCGTTTATTATTATTTTCTATAAATAATAATTATAATATACTATTATTTTGATGAAAATAATGTACCTAAAATTGGGAAAATAAAAGCTCGTCCTTTAAATAAAATTTATAAAAAAATTAAAATTAAAATAAAAATTAAAATTAAAATGAAAAAAAAACCTTGACTGTTTGGTATGCTTTACTCACCGGTCTCATAACTGTTAGGTACAACCTAAGTTAACGCAAATACAACTGATAGCCTGCAGTCGTGAAAACCATTTAAACCTTAAACTATATCCCAATCCAAATTAAAAAAATAAACCCCAAATCAGAGATGGGATTTGATCGTGAGCACATTGTGATGCTTCCCTTGATAGCTAAAGGTCATCTCATACCATTCTTGGCACTAGCAAAGCAAATCCAACAGGCCAAGATCCTTCCAGCCACGGCCAATTGGAGAAGGAGGATCGCCGTTTTCGCCTAAAGCCCGGTTATATATCAAGCCATGCTCCTCCAATTTGTCAACAAATTCTGGGTACCTCTCTTTCATCCTCTCGTACACAATGTGGCTTAGAACAATGGGAGTTTCTCCCCCACTTCCAGGCTCCACTTCACAGAAGAAGGAACAACTTCGCTGGGTTCTATGAATCTGTTAGAATGTGATTTGTATTGAAATTGAATAGCAGATTGATGAATTAGTTGTGCAAGCATTTAAATGCGAAGGAACAGAAGCCAAAGAAGTTGAATCCTTCACAAACTTCTTGTCTGAGATCCTTTCCTCTATGAAGGTCTGTTGATTTCTTCTTACCAAATTCATTTCTCAATATCCTACTTGCATAATGATACATCCTAATTTCATTTTCATCTGCACTTTATGCAACTGCTTGCAGCCATGGGTTCCCAGGCTTCACATGTCACTCTTCACTCCTGTGGAATCTACTGTTAATGAAGTTGAAAGTGTAGAGGTTGAGAGTCTACAAGGCTCCCTTATCTCACCTTCTCCTCTTGTGTCTTGGAATGCCGACTGCACTATCTAAAGAGGGAGACGTCTATTTAAACTTACCCCTCTTCCCATATCAAAGTCTCTGTCATCCAAACCCCCAATCCCTTCTAAATCATGTCTTTGAGAGAATTTCTTCTGGTACTTCTGATAGGATATCCTTTTTTCATGCTACTTTTGGAGATGCAAATGATGATTTGCTTTATTTGCTAATCTTGTCTTCAAGGTATTGGCTGTTAAATTTCATAGAGATGAGCCAGCAGCCCACAACTAATAAAATCGATATTGTCTGCATCTTGTCTTCAAGGTTAGTAGGTGTGGGGTTTTATCACAAAAGGCCTTTGTGATAATAGTAGTGGAACCATTCATTATCTATTGTATTTTATTTTGTCAAGTTTCCAATGTGGGATTTATATTCTTCAACACACCCCCTCACATGGGATCACCACATAGTGGGCCATATGTGGAGCTAAGTCCATATTGGAGTTGGAACCATTCATTATATATTGTATTTTATTTTGTCAATTTCAGATGTGGGACTTATATTCTTCAACACTGGCCATTCATTGTTGCTCTTTTTACTGGTTTGATGTGTGAGAGCACACAGATAGCATACTGGACATGTTCAAATATTTTCTTTTGTCACCCGTAGGGGGCAGGCTTGCATTGATCGGAAGCACTCCCATCTGGAAAGAAGCTGAAAGCTTTGTTCGAACAGGCAAGCGTCCTGGTGAGAACACCTTAAAGAGGGAGTTGTGGACAAAGTTTGAAGCAACTTCTTCAAATGAGCTTCTGTTTAAAGACTTTGTAACTCATAAAGGCTTTCTTGATCGATTGGATGAGGTTTCTTGAGATGGAGATTACCAAATGGCTGTCGAATAAATAGTTTCATGATCTTAAATTCTGCTTTGTACTAGGTGGTTCATTTGTATCTTTTCAAAGTATAAGGAGCTTTGCACATGTAATTTTGTATCTGTACACGGCTACAACATCGAACCACCCTCCCCTTTCTTCAATATTTCCTAAACCCCGAAACCTCTCTATTCTCTAGCAATGGCCGAAACCACCGAATTGATTCAGCACATTGAGTTGTCCGTCGACACGTCTCGCTCTCCTTCTGAGCTGGTTCACACTCTATTCAATTTCTACTCGAATTTTTTTAATCTTTTTAGTGAAAAGTCTCTACTAGTTTGAGTTCCTTAATCCTGTGTTTGGCTGCTTGGAAAATTAAGGAAAACAAATGTTAAAAATCAAAATTCAAACTAAATTATGCATATTTTTTTATTTTTTTTGTTATTTGGGAGCTTTGCATTCACCTTTGGCCTGCGTTACGGTAGGTACTTTAATCAAATTCTGCAGCGTACGTCAATTTAAATGACTGTAGCACTGTGTAAATGGAATGATATATTGTTTTCCTGTGAGGACCTAAATCTAAGTATTAGGTAGTAGCTTGAAGATTTCTATGCAGATTTTATGCGCAAGTGACGCTCTGTTCAGCTGGCTTTCGGTTTGATGATAAGAATGCATTTGTGTAGATAATAGTTCTGATTTTGGATATATGTGGTGATTTTTTGGGATGATTCTTTGGCTGTGGGATTCACGATCTCAGATCTAGTAATGTTCCTCTAGATCGTTTTTGTCCTTTAAGTTTCTTAATTATTCTGTATTGATTCTTCTATTCTGCTCTAAGTTTAGGAGATGTAGGATAGAATGTAAATTTTTGCCTACGTATGCTCTATGAAGGGCTATAAGACCATCTCCAATCCAAGATGGGCTAAACCCAAATTTCCCCCCTTCAAAAAGTGACTATTTGGGTTTTGCCCGGACTTAAATTATTTTTTCTCCCAACTCTCCGAATTCAAATTTTAAGTCCGCAACTTTATTAAATTGTTTAAGAATGGTTTAAGTCTATTTTTTTTTTTAATGGAAAACTTTTCTTCATTAATCTTTTTAAATAACGTCATAATTTAATTTTTTAAACAATTTGACCTTAAAAAATTGAAATTCCATAAATTTAATTTTATTCCAAAAGTAAACACACAACATAAAAATTCCATTAAGTTATATGTATATAAATAATAAATAAAAAAGGGCAGCAATTTTATATATGTTCAAATGTTGCTGTTGGAAGTTATATGTATATATATATATATAATAAAAAAAAAGGCAGCAACTTATTCAAATGTTGCCGTTGGATTCCAACGGCAACTACATAGGAGCGCAACACATGGCTTGGTGTAAGAAGACAAAAGCAGCAACCCTTGAAGAGCTGGGGCCCATGTTAGTTTTTCTCTCATGTGGTCTGTTTTAAAGGGTGCATTTTTGCTCACCACTTTAACCATAAGTGTACCCTCATGATTCCATAAATACAAAGCAAAAGTTAACTATGGTTATATCTATGGACACATGTCAAGCATTGAGAATGGTGGTGAAGGTACACCTATGGTTAAAGTGGTGAGCAAAAATGCTCCCTATTTTAAAATGCAGGTGGGCTCCAAGAAAGGTTTGGGTTCAGACAATAAGTGGACTGGTATTTGAATACAAATTTGGATTTTCTCAAATTTTGGGTTCTTCATTTTGTTGGGTTGGGAGAGGTTTTAGGGGATATTTTGGATTTAGGTCCTTGGGTTGGAGATAGCCTAAGGTTTAGGAAACCTGTGATTTGGGCTAGGGGGTCTAGAAGAAGATGTTCAAGGCTTAGTATTCCAAATTGGGGTTTGAAGGGCTGAAGAGATGAGGGAATGGGTGTTGGTGAATTATGGGATGCAGTTAAATTCTGGGCAGCTTTATGGGCTTCTGTCACTTCAGATTTCAAAGACTATTCTTACTCCACTATATTGAGTGATATGACTGCTAATGTGATGTGAAGTGTTTTTTTATCGACTTGTTTTCTTTGGGTCTTTCTGGTGTAGCCCAATCTTCTTTATACCAACTTTGTTCTGTTGCTTACTTGCACTCTTGAAAGTGTGGCCGCACCTTTTTTCTATCTTTCTTTCAGGCATCAATATTAATTTAAAATAAAAAAATCTCTGACGAACCCTTTTTTTGTTGTTGTGATTTTTGTTGAATTGTATGTTATAAAATACATGAAACTGTTGTGTTTTATGGATGACCCAGGTGGCAGTATTATGAAGCAATGCTGACTGATTTTAAACAGCTTAAATGATTATTAAACGAGCCCTCAATTTTTCCTTTCCAAGTTAGTTTTTGATCTTACACTCTTGCAAATTCCTCACAAGGCCCTAAAAATTTCAGGCTCAAGAGTTCTTGGGATTTTTGTTTACATCATTGTTATCTACATTTTCCATTATATAAACCTTAAAAATACAAATATAATATTAGAAAAATTAGTATATAGTGATAAAAAAAATAATAATAAAAACCTTTAATATATAATCTGTCTCATTTTCGAGTTGAAAAGTAATGGAACCCAAATCAAGATTTTCTCATTTTCGGGTTCATCACTCAACCGTATCCTGTTGTGTCAAGAATTATCACTATTGCTGTTATTTTATACCCTGCAATGCAGTATGGACTGCTTATGCTCATGGACATTTTCAGAATGTGCAATGATTCTGACAATTCACAAATTGATAGTGCAGTAGAAAACTAACCGTAAAGAATGGAATATATTCATAACAAAATCAATATTCAATAGAATAATAAGCACACAATTTATTGCTGAAAATCACAGGAGAAGCTAAACAATATTAATTGTAATACCATTATCTAACCAAGTAAACAGACACAAGTTAGAACTGCTGGGAAAACCCTATTCTTTTCTAGATAAACTTGATAGCACTTTACTCAAGGCCAAAACATTCTAACACGTCTAACTTCTTTACAAGGTTTCTTTTTCATCTTACCCTTTACATGGTATCTAAGGGAAAATGTTTTCTGGCTAAAGATACAGGTAGATATTTGAGGTTCGAATGGACATCCCAACAAGAAGCGGCCAAATTAGTTCACACTCACCTTTACGTCAAAGCAGCATCCGATTGCAGTTTGGGAATAATCCCAAATTAGATGCCACCAGTCTGCAAGTCTTCAAGACAGTCAGCGACATTTACATCAACAGATAAATTAATCAGATAAATCATCTTCAGCACCACTAGATTCATCAATATCTTGGTGTCGTGCAATCTTCCGTGGTCTTTCAAGGGTATCTTCAACATCAAAGCGTCTTGTTTTTAAATTTGACACAGATCCCCTCAAATAATCCTGAAAGCAGCAAGCCAATTATGTGTATATGCAATTATTCAAATCATTTGATGACTAAAACCGCATACCAAAGGATTTAAATTTCAACAAATAGCTTATTGTCATACCCCTGAATCCTTTAGTTCAATTGCAGCAACAGTTGATCTCTGCCTGATGGTCACTCTTGAGGGTGCGGGAAAATGTTCAACCTCATCACTGGTTTTTCCCTCTTTGGACCTCTTTTTCCTTAAGACAAGCTTTGTGGGAAGGGGCTGCATTGTGAATGGAAAATTTATAAGGGATAATCTTGATGAATTGTTACTCAAAACAAAACCAAAAAACAAAAAACAAAAAACAAAAGCAAAGAGCAATTAATAAATGCACACGTAATAAAGATAAAAATATCGATTCAAAAAGATACCGCATAGCGTGCTTCATCTTCATCAAATGAAACAAGGTATGTTGTGGGATCATGCACATCATCACCTCTTACCTGTTGAGACATCAAAAGGAATATCATTAGATAAGCAATCAAAAGCTAACTTAATAACTTCTCAAAACCATGGGGATGGTACATACATCATAATGATACTCGCGAACCCAAGAATAAGAAACATCTTCAGATTCATCATACGGATCTTTTGATAGCTGCCACCATTGAAATAAATAATATATGAGCCATGAGATCAGCCAATGAACTGTTAATGCTAATCTTCAGATTTAGAAGCGGAAAAAAGCATGTCTACCTCATTTGGCGAAGGGACCATGTAAGCCAAAAATTTCTCCGGATTAGCTGGATCTGCACCTGTTACCTTATAACTTTTCATAATGGCCTGTAGTAGACGATGATGGATGAGATCATAATGCAGCAGTAGCCACTTATAGGATAATGACAAAATATGAAAATATTCAAGTACAACAATGTATAAGACGCAGACTAAGTTTGATGTAAATGACAATCTAAAAAGCCATCACATATTAAAACTTCTGTGTCAGGCCAACGCATCTTTTGCACATAACATTTACTTTAACACAATATTTTTCTTCCAAAGCCAGGGTTTCTGACTGAAAAAAGAAAGAAAAAGAAAACATGATATTTGGATATGAACAGATAGTAAAAAGAAAGGAGTAGCATTATTGGCAGTTCTGTTTTGCCAATTCACATGGAAGGTGGATTCGGATAAACTGTAAGTAAAAAGCAAAAGAGCCGCTCAATCTACAGATACATTCAATTTGAATAAAGGCAACTCTTAAATTATTTCCCTCTAAATGAATAAGCAACATCTAACACACACTAACAGACAATGAAGGAATACTGCTTCAATTATGGGTATAGGTGGATACAGATTATTTTAGCTCTTTTGTTTGTTTTCCAAACCTTTCACCTAAATCAATTCAAGCAATTTTGATGGTCGTCTATTCGTTTTTTGGATTCAATTCTAGTTCACTGTTTTGGGGCTTTCACTTGTTATTATAATGTGACGCAGGCTGCAGAATCCTAGAAATGAAGATTTTCTTTAAATTGAAGGTTTGAGAATCTGATTTTATTTGACCAAAAAAAAGAGAATCTAATTTATGACCATAACTGGTTGCATGCATCCCAACTCACTCTTGATTCATAAGCATCATGACCGGACTGGTCCAATTTGCTGTAGATTTCTGAATCAGCAGTAGGAGCACCATCAAATGCTGCAAGGACAAATTGGTCTTCATAGCTGTTACAAAAGTCTCATCAATAACAGCCCCAAGTTAATGTGTGAATATTCTAGAATGCAATATGATTGCCATAAATAAATGTTTTAGGTTTTCAATTAACCAGCCACCAGCCACCAGCACAAATTGGTCATCATTGAAAAATATCTATAATCTGCATGTATTCATGCATGATATAGATGATTTTGATTTCAAGATGTCTGGACTCTGAAATAACAAGCTTTTCATGAGAGCACAAGCTTGACTTCAACCATAAGCCATTGCCACTACGTATAATAAATTTACTAATTAAGATCAGCATATAACGGGCTTGTATACAAAAGACTAAAGTAATAAATGTTTGTCTTATTTAAACAGAAAATCAGATACTCCATACCGCTCAAAATCAGGCAACAGAGGTAGAACCTCAACAGGGTATAAATTCTTATTGGTTGCATGAAGAGGGCGTGACTTGCAGGCCTCAAATGATGCCTCAATTTCCTTGATTTGTCTTTCCCTGAAAAATGATTCAGGGCAATTAATTAACATGAGTAATGGACATTGGTTATATGATCACCAAGGTAGGTAGGCAAAGAGCAAACCTATCATTAAGGTTGTCCAAAATGTTGCGACCTCCCTTCATTTCCCGCAGTTCCTTTGCTTGTTTTTCAGTTAAAGACTGCAGATGCCAATGCACGTACTTATAACATAGCTCACCAGTATTGTTCAAGAAAGACTGCTCATCTAAAATGGAGCATTAATCGACTACCTGTCTTGCAGAGTCCATGCTAAGAGGAGATATATATTGTGTTTTAACCAGCCAGGCAACGCCTTTATCGGTAGGCCGCTCTTTTCTTCTGATGCCATTCTTTTTCACAGGGATTGCTGCTACGTCATCCCGCAATAATTCCTCATCTTCCAAAGCAAGGGGTGGTCTAACACTTGGAGGACTGATTGAACCAGGAAAAAAACAGATATTCAGTATTGTCATGCAATAAAAACTACTGATGTCTTAAAAGGTTTAGGGCTGTAGAGTAATGATACTATATTCAGTATTGTCATGCAATAAAAACTCCTGATCTCTTAAAAAGGTTAGGGCTGTAGAGTAATGATACTTGTATACACTGAGGTCAAGCAGGTCAAGAGGTATCCCAAGATCTGGCTCAACAAAAAGCTTGGGCTTGTATGTTTTCTCCAGCGATGTTATTGTGTATTTTGTATATCTGGGAGAGGGAGGGAAGATTGCAAAAGTTACCACAAAATAATAATTGATTTGATTTTGGAATTTGATAATAAGATAACAAGGGTTATTCTACTCCTGATCATGTGTCATAATGCCATTATTTCAACAATCAGAGTTTATTTCCATAGTGCGAGCTTCAACAAAAACCAGACATGTATGCTGAGTTCCAGACTCTCAATGAAATTTAAGCCATAGTAATGAGTGCTAAAACATGAAAAAACTCATCCCAGACTATCCTCTCCCCCCCACCCAAAAAATAATAATAATAATAACACCTGACCTATGAAAGTCAATGTCCACCACCAGACCAACATTTTCTGGATATTATCTTCTAAATCAAGAACGACCCGTGAACCTGCTCTGCTTGTTCATATTTTCTCGATCGGCCAACTTGATGCATGCAGTTTAACTTTAAAATCAAGTTTCTGGCTGTATCCAGTCCATAAATACTGATAGGTTTGCCGCTTCACCAGACTAACAAAGTTCATTTCTAGTCTTCCATACACCCCCGTAATATAAATGCTATGTGGCTCATCAGTAAACCGTTCTTCCCTTGTCTTTTCCATTCTTTTCATTCATTTTACGCTTCTCCGCCTTTTGCCAGTTACTGAAATACCCCCCCTATTTGTAGAAAATAGCATCACAAAATTTTCTCCATTAACCGCATCTTCCATACAAGTGCAGTAGAAATTCATCTTCTTTCCTAAACAATTTCTAATTGCTCCAATTAATTCCTCCATCTGAAAACCAGCAATCATATGATGCCAATTACTCGTTCTTACAACCTCAACAAGAATACAAAGGTCCATGCACAAGAAACATGCATTGCATACACATACAAGCCTAAATATACAAATGTTCAAAAGGTTGAGCAACAAAGAGATGACTTACTGATCTTTGTCTTTCTTCAAAGACATAAGCTTTGGCTGTGCACTTGGATCTGGAAGTTCATTCCGAAATCTTCAAAGAGCAAACAAGTTAGATTGAAGTCATTACCGGAATAAACAATGAAAGTACTTGACAAGCAGAGAGATGAACAAACACTATTTTTAAATAAAAGTACATTGTTCTGTTTTGGCCTGAACTAAAAGAGCATTGCTTAGCCACATAGAATATATAAGATTCATCTCAAATGGTGTTCACAATACGATAAACAAATAAAAGGCTGAATAAAAAAAATTTGGAGTCTTATCCACCTATTATTAGGTTCAGCATACCACCAGTAGCTTTAGACGAGTTCAAAACATGGTGTATTGCTAAAATTGGATCATTGTGTTCTAATAAACATGACAAACTCTAAAAAGTACAAGTTAAACTTAAGCTGTAAGGGAATTAATAAAAAAAATATAATAAAACTGTTATTGATATATCATGTAGTCAGTTTCCATCAAAACAGGAAAAGATTAATTTCAATTAAAACAAAGCAAAATGTGTTCTTCAAACAAAGGTAAGTCATTGTTATCATACTCACTTCAACTTGCATACAAATGTTGTTGGCTTCTTCAGCCTATTTTCAGTCCTCTCGCCACTCAAGAATGGAGTAGCCCTCCTTTCCCCCATTCGTGATCCCGCAACAGACCCATGTCCTTTCCCAGAAGACAACATCTGTGTCTTTTGCAAAACTGAATTCTGGGAATCCTTCAGCTGCTGCCTATGCTTCTCTTCTTGCCTTTGCTTCTCAAATTCCCTCTTCTTTCTCAATATCCTCTCTTCCTCTGTCTCCACTCTCCCTGGAGGTCCATTCGCTTTCTTCACTTGCATTGAAGGAACAGGAGGCTTATGCTGTTTTTGAGGAACCCCATGATTCAAATGCCCATGTTCACCCCTCCCCGACACTGATACCTCCCTAGAAGCCCCTTTTTCATGGGATCCTCTATCTACCCCACCATCCTTACTTTGTGGAGGGGGTGGTGGCGGTGAACCCGGGGGTGGTGGTGGCGGTGGGATAGAGGAACTTGGGGAAAAAGGTGGTGGGGGCGGAGGTGGTGGCTGCTGTAAAGGCTGGTGACTATATTGTGAATACTGAGAATTCTGGTAGTACATGGGGGCTTGTGGAGGCTGTAAAGGCATTTTATTTTGTGCCACTGGAGGCGCTTGAGGGGGCGGAGGTGGTGGGTATGAAGACTCGGGCGGCGGAGGCAGTGGTGGATAATTGTATTGTGGTTGTGGGTGAGGGTGTTGAGTTCTTGGAGGGCCGTAATTACTATGATTGTAATTGTAACCCCAATTCTGATTATATTGATTGCCTCTTTGTGGAGGAGGTGGCGGTGGTGTTGGTGTAAGAGGGTTTTGATTTGGCGGAGGCCCGAATGACGATTGGGGAGGGAACGGCCTGTATGAAGCCATAGCTAAGTTGATTCTCAAGCACACCAAACAATCAACCACAACCAGAAACAACCAAATTCTACGTCCCTTCCAAATTCACTCTGCGAACTGATAAAAACCCTAAAGCAGCAATTTTTTTTCTTTTTGGCCTCCAATCTCTAAACAGCCAAAAACTCCCAATTATAAGCTATATATGCAATTACATATTTTGAACAGCTGAGGAATCATAACAAATAAATACCAGAACTTGGAAGATAGATGAATTCAATGAAGAAGTTTGTATAGCTGAAACCAGATTTGAATGTGAACCCTGGGAGTGAGATAGAAGCCCAGCTTTAGCTCAAAACCCTAAATTCTCAGCTGGAGAGAGGGTGCAAAAACCCTAAGCGAGTGACCGGAGAGAGAGATCGGAGGGAAGTAGACGATGTTCCTCTTGGTATTTATATATGATACGACGAGGCACACAGTGTGTTTGGCGAGCTCTCGGGTTTGGTTCACCACGTCACTCTTCTGCTCTGCTGTATTTTTTGGACGCGTTTTAATTTTACTGATCGGCTAGACAGAGCAACTTCATCATTCATCAATTTCATGATTGGCTTGGCTTCATGTCTGGTTCTTACAAATTTATATATGTCCTTTTTCTTTCCTTTTTACCCAAAGTTTTATGGTATTTGCCTCATCTTTTCTTCCTAGATACAAAAGAAAACTTAAGCTGAATTGTATTATGTTGTTCCCTTCCCTAAGAGGGTGATCCAAAATTATACTTCGACTATGTATTTGAAGCATGTGATATGCTTTTTTTCTTTCTAACTAAAATAACGAACGAACTTCAACCAACTTTTGAATCTTAACGAACTTTTAAATTATAATATATCGAAGATGATCTTGTATACTATAATAAGAGGATAGTTATGTTCCCAAATTTGGCCTTGGTGGCTTGTTCCCACCAAGAGTAAATGATCTCGTTACCATATCTATGAAGATTCAGACACAAAACATGTATAGTGCAACAAATTCGTTGAGAATTACAGTGCGTCTCATATCCGCCGTGAACAATAGTTGTAATTAGATAATTATGTTCCTAAACTTACACTTGGGGCACACATATCGCCTTAAGTATATTGACCTACATCTCAAGTCTATCGATAGAACATTAAATTGCCATATTTAGCTCCAAAATCATGGTGAGAAAAAATCGAAATAAAAAGAAATTATAATTGAAATCATTTTGATTACTAAATGGCCTAAACATTTTTATTCAACTACTTATTATTGAAATATTTTAAGTTCCAACAATTATTTTTGCAATGAAAAACCCATTAGAATATTTTGCAAATTTTTTCATATTTCTAATTCCTCGTTTACACTATATTCTTAATGAAAACAATGTTTACACAATATATTTATTTTCCTTCTCTAGCAAAAAAAAAAAAAAAAGGATAAGAAAAAGAAGACATCATTAGAAATAAAATAATAAAAAAATTGTTGTAGGAGGCAGGGACAGTCCTACGTCCATTTAAACATGGGCTATAGTCCGAACGAATATTTTATAGTCCAATATTAATACTCAGCCCACCAAAACACACCTACACACCCTCAGAAAATTTCTGTTTTTTTTTTCTTTAGTTAACTAATCCCATTAGTGTGGTCGTAAGTAAAACAAAAACTAACCCCACATTAATATTTAATACTCAGCCTTTTTCAGAAAACACAAATTCTTAGAGAGAAAAAAAAACTCTACCTTTTTCTAGTGTACAGAAAATGTCAATTCATTTTTTTTCTTATAAATTTTGACTACTTCTTTTCATTTTTATTTTCCAAGTTGGCTTGGATGGATTAAAATGGTTCAGTTTTTTTTCTTCTTCTTTTGTAATGGATAATAAATGCTTTCAATTCTTTTCCTTTCATGGAGAAGTTTATCATGTAATTGCTAATTGACCTTAAAATTCATACTTGAATGAAATTCACTCATACCGTCAAGTTTTCTAGGACCGTCCCTGGTGTGGGGATCTTTTTGTTCTAACAGCTCTAAGTGGACTTGGGCTGCTGTAAAAAGAGAGTGAAGTTGACCCGTTGCCTAGGTTCAAGAACTAGGCCCCAAAATACTCCAAAAGAATGCTGATTAGGGAGTATTCTGGTTTTTCTCACCAAGCAAATAATTATTATTGTGAATTGAGATTTTGGCTTGACTTGAGTAGCTTGTGGCATGGGAGCTAAGTCTCCATGAGTTCTCCATGAGTTTAGCAAGAGCATTTGCTTGAGTTGAAATAAGGTTTGGATGAAGGCTATTTTAAGGCTTGGAATGGTTTTCTTGTTTCTGGGAGAAGAAGAGGATGATTTATGGGGGGAAATGAGAAGATTAAATTGTTAAGCTTGAGTGTTTCCAGCAGTGGATGTATGGCTTGCTCGATGTCTTGGTTTTTGTCCCCCNNCCCCCGCGCCCCCTTATTTTGGGTAAGCCACTGTTTCCTTTTATAGCAATTGAAACTCAAGCAAGTAATGAATGAGCAGCCTCAGGTTGGTGATACAGTAAATCAATTTATGACTGAGATTTTAGTGCTTAGCAGTTGAGGGTTGGGTAGTGATTACTGAAGTAAGACTGGCAGTAAGTCTAACCGTGGTTTCGGTGGTGGAAGGTAAGAAGTTGGGGGTTGTGTAATAAATTATGGCAGTTGGTAAGTGCTGGAAGAAGACCACAACTCTCTCTGCTTACCCATTGAGCGGACTCAAGAAAATGGGCTGGGGTTTTGGGGCTCCCAAGCAACCCAAAACCTCCATTTTTTTTTAAACCTTTAATAGGCCTCATGGATACTTGTACCCATCCACACCACAACCCACTCAGTAAGCCCTAGGCATGTATGTGGCTTGGGCCCACTTAAGCTTGTCTAGTGGTTTAGCATAAGATAATGTATTATTTGCTTGGCATGACATGTACACTATTTCTTTATTTATTTAATGGATAAATTCCCAAAATACAACTTGGATTAACGCATGACCAACATTATATGTTATATTGGGCTTTAAACATTCTTGGGCTTTTGATGACATTTTAGGCCTCAACACCTAGTAAGAGGTATTTAAGAAACGAGATAATGTTGCACTAGCCACTAGGTAAAAGGCATTTATGTATTATGAGAAAACAACATAAGGGTAGTCTTGGTATGAAAATGTTAATTTCGACTTACCCTTTCTCAATCTCACCTAAGCCATATGACTAGAGGTCGTAACCTCATAATTACAAGAGACAATTATCAAGTTTCCCAAAATTGGAATCAATTTTTCCATTACTATTTTCAGCATACATCCCATCTTTTGGTATGACAATCCTTTCACAAATTCATCAGGGGCATACAATCCTTATCCATCGCCACCACCACATTGCTACCAAATGCATATTT